CTCCTTCAGCCAAACAGCTAAGCAGCAGCCAGGTCTGTCTATTTTCAGCATGTAGAAGACTGAGACCTTCAGTTTAGCATATGTACAGCTAATAGTTAAGATCATATTTTTGTCAACTTACACCTGGATGATAAGTTCGAACTGCAATGAAGGATAGGTACGGGCAACATGAGGTGGCTGCAGTTACATTTCTTACTGCATTGCTGCAGTATTACTATGGAATTCTTATCCAACAATGGCAGAATATTTTAATTTTTGTCTGTTTGTTTGTTATAAGCACTTTGTTGTTGACAGCTGCCCGTTAAGCTCCTCCTGAGGCATGGCACGTCTCTCCAAGCGCCACTCACTCATCCTGCTGCTCTAGGGCTCTTTAGTGAGGAAGGGCATCTTGCCAACAAGCACAGGGGTGACAACGTGCTGTTGTGCACTCAGGTGGCTGCAGTCCAGATCTGCTGAAAGTTTGAGCAGAGTGGGATACAAGGAAAGGTAGATTTAGCCTGTTATTAGACAATCTGTTCTGCACGCTGCCAGCTGTTCTTTAAGGCACAGAGGCAAAGTGAGTAACCACAGTCTTAATCATCTGGTTTCAAACCAGGGAGATGCATCTTCTCTTAATTTAAAATTGCTTGAGCTGGAATATATGGGTATGAGGGAATATTACCTCTTGAAAGCTGTTGGCTTTCATGACGTTTTTAAATATAACAACAGCCCGCTAAGAAAGTGGAGAGAACATCAGCAAGAAAATAATAGATTTCTTTGTATGTGATATACATATATATATACATATATGTGTGAAATAAATCATTGTTTAGGTGTCTAATATTATATGGGCAGCATCATTGGAGCCCAAACCAAACTTGTATTGGGACTGACACCATCAGAAAATCCTGCAGACATCACATCCTTGAGGGAGGCAAGTTTCTGAGCCAAGGGAAAGCTGAAGTATTTTGTGTCGATCTACAGCAATATCAGGTCTCATCAACAGCATTCATACTTGTCACATTGTAAATACTTTTCATGGGACAATCTCGAAGGGCCTTACAAATAGAAATGAATCCTCAGCATTCATGTGGGGTGTTATCTCTGTAGATAGAGCAAATGAGACAGAGGGAAGGTAAGTAGTTTACCAAGATAACAGTCATGAGCATAGGCTGAGTAGGAGAAAGTCTAGCCTCCCGTATATGTGTGTGTTAAGTATTTACTTAAATATTACCTAGAAAAAATAAGTTATGAAGTGCTTATCACAGACATCATAATCATGTTTCTTTATATGATTTTATTTATTTATTTTACAGAGTTTTTTTTATATTCTGCTTATGTTTTCTCTGATAGAAAATTCTTCTTTACGTGCCGTCAGTCTCTTTACCATTTTCTCATGAAACTTTATTTTACTTTCTCTTTTTTTTGGCTTTAGGCAGTTCCTTAGCTACCTTGAGACCGTGATAAAAGACATCCTGGCTCCTAATCTGCAGTGGCATGCTGGAAGAACAGCAGCTGCCATCCGTACTACAGCTGTATCATGCCTTTGGGCGCTTATTCACTGTGAAATACTTTCACCAAAAGAGGTAAATTCCTTCTCTCCCATCAGATGCACTTTGTAATCTTAGGCAGGAAAACAGAATGAATGTAAGAAAAAAAGAAAAGAATAAATCTTAATAGTAGGTATTATTTTCAGGGAGATGTATACTTTTCATAATAAAATGTGTTGTTTGCAATTGCGTGTTGAGAAGTGAAGTGATCAGTAGTTAGGGGGGACGATGATGCTCAGGGGCCCAGACCTGCAGTGATATGGTGAGCTGTAGAACTCAGCTCCAATAAATTTTGTAGGTGTTTGTTCTAGCATAATGCCAGTTTTAATTGACCAAAGTGCTTGAACACGTGAAATGGTTAAATATTTGCATATGCAAAATTATCTCACACACTGTTGTCATGTTAAAACAAGGACATTTTTCTGATACCCAAAGTACCTTATTGCAGTAATATATGCAAAATGTACATATAAAAGGGAAATTATGAAACTCACTGAAAATACTGTATTACAGGTTTTATTTTTAAAACTTCCTTTCAGAGTAAGAGCACCATCTACTGGTACATATGCATAATTCTTACATTCTTACAAATTACTGAAAGTCTTGCCAACATTTTTTTTTT